AGGCAGATGGCAGTTAGGGTGAAGGATTCTCCAAGATTTCTCCTGGAGTTTCGGAAGAAACAAACTGCTGACTAGCTTATGTCATGCACCTGATACTCCACTCTTACCTCCAGTGGGTTGCAGTTGTAATGTGGGGATTCAGTTTTAATTTTACCACACTAATATCTGTGTGGAGGAATAATTACAACTTTGAAGTGCAGTGTAGTGAGAAGTAACCAGTTTCTATTAAAGATTGCTCAAGCAGTGAGTAAGTCATTAAATTCAACTCCTGATGATTGTTGATTGCTTAATATCTGTCTGCCAGGAGACACACACAGAGATATATGTCACTAGAGATAGATAATTGGAGGTGATTTTTACAGAGAAGTAATGTTTTAGTTTTGATTTTGACAGTGAGAAGTTCAGGGCATGGTTTCTATTGTCATCTGTTTGCATCTCTCCAACAAAAGAGTAAGTGCTTTTTTAATAAAATATTGAAGAATCAAGTTCTTATCCGAAGAGATCTGGAAGTACTTATTCCCAATTTTCAGAAAATAAGATCTTCTAGCTACATGTGCTATTTTTTCTAAGAAATATAAAACAAAGTCAGGCAACCCCTTGCTGCCTTTCTTCTTTCTTGCCAAAATGGTATATGTCCTTTATGACATTTAATGTTTATCAGATTCTTCTGAGTGTGTGAGTCATGTTGACTCATAGTCAGCAACCCTTACCAACACTAAATGTCTGCTTTGTCTTAGCGTGGTAATTTACTAATAAAATACATGGTGTTGAATTTGAACAACTATACGTATGGTTGTTTCTGTCCAGGCATGCTTATTTGTAGCTTTGTAGAATAGAAAAATTAACCTGATCCCATAGTTTTTATTTTATTTGTTTAGGACAAAATTTCAGAAAATAGCTTGGCCGTGGACAAAGCTGTTCACCTGAATCAGATAGGCAGATGGAAAGAGTAAGTAGGTGACATTTGTTTTGAGGGTGTGCCTCCCTAGTGTGTGTGCACACATGTCCTACTTGTAAAGGTAAAGAGGCTTTATTGATCGCTAAGGGATGGAATATTTGGACCTGTTCTGGACAGTAGAGAGATGTCTGGGAAAAGACCTTGTGGCTGAGATCGTGGGGAGCTTTCAGTAGGGCACATCAAAAAGACACACAAGGAACGGTGGTCGCCTGTGTGTGGTTTGCTTGGAGAGACAAGGAGGGCAAACCTAGACTTTGATGTTTGTTTCACTGAAGGCAGTGCTAGTGAAGACTGAGAGATCATGAATGGCTTTCAACTCTACTTCCCAAACCTCTGGGTGCATGCCTTGGGCTGCAGCACAGCCACCTGCGGTTAGGGAAGGCCCTGTGTAGAGTAGTTGGTCTAGAGCTGCGGCACTTCCATCCGCCCTCACTAATCTGGTCCTGGTCGGCAGCAGCAATCGGGTTGGTCTATTGATCATAACCAGGTGGACTCAGCCGTGCCACGATAAAGAACTGCTTCCCCCTCTGCTGTTGCTTTTAAACCCGAGACCTAGAAAATTATACTGAGTAAATAGGTGTGAATCCACCTTAGACACTGTTGGTACTGAATGGGGAAAACGTCTCATGCTCCCACGCTGTACCACATAAGGACACCATATTGCCATGCTTACTTCTGGAGTTTTAGCCACAACCTGGAGTCATTTCTACTCTAGAGTCCATCTCCATAAAAGCAACGTAATTCGTCTCCTCTCTCCCTTCTCAGCTCTGTCTCTTCTTTTTGCCATGGTCTTTCCCATTCAGGACAACTGGTAGCAATGGCCACTGTTTGGCCTTCAGACTTTGTTCCTGCCTCAGTCATCATCTTCCTCTCATTAAAGTCTCATGAATTTTGTTTGACGTTGAGTTTCATTCTAGCACTAAGCCCCCCATTCCTGCTTCAGTGCTTTTTCAGGGCTTCAAAGCAGAGAATAGTAATAGTTACTGCTGTTGATGCATTTTAACATTGAGCAACAGATGACGTGTCTAATGAATAGCGTGGCTGCCGAGATTGCATAATTATAGGTTTGTCTGACTTTAGAAGAACCATAAGCAGGCCAGCTTCATCCGGTTAGAGACTTCTCCAATTTATGTAAGCATCAGAATATTTCAATCTAAAATGAAGCCCTCTTACAGTCATTATACTATTCTTTGTTTTCCTGGAGTTTGCCTGAATAGGAAAAAACAAAACGAAACAGAAACTCTCTTCAAGGAAGTGGTTGTTCTGTGACTCTTCCCTTACCGAGTCCCACTTGGTCTGTTAGGTGGTACAGGCTCCAGTGTGTCTGTATAGTCTTAGAAACAATGCTGATCGGCGTGGCCCGGTAGACGTGTGCAACAGCCTCATGCTGGCTTGCTTACAGACAGCTAGAATTTTATAATTCAGAGCAGGGATTATCTGTGCCCTCTGGACTTGGTTTGCTGGGGTGGAGGTGGGGGACATACTTCAGCTAGTTATTGTGCTAACTTCTTGGAACAGTTTCTTAATCAATGTGCCAGGTGACAGGTTCTCCCAGAGGCCTTAAGTTCTCCCCATGGGGCTTCTCAATGTGTATATTGGCTTGGAAGTCAATGTTCATACATTTCATGTGGGTTTATTCAATTACTGATAGAAGGGGCTGAGTCTAATAAGTTCATAGGATGGCATATTGAAGACATTTCAGTATCCTGAGCCTCCCCAGACCATGTTTGGTGAGGGGAGTGCAATTAGATATATGGGTAATAAAAATTATTTCTAACACTGAGTGCTGCTTAGAAGCATCTCTGCCCCCAGGTTCTTTGTAGGATTCTGGTTCCCTCCAACCTTTTCTCTGTATTCTCTCTGTTGCCTCACAGTTGGTTTTAGCAGCTTCCATCTGTGTGGTTGGTTGCAAGTACTCTTAGACTAGCGCACCCTGGACTTTTGAGTGGCTGAGCTTGGCTGGTGTTCTCCATTCAGTGGGTAACTTGTTTGTTGTCCTAGGTAGCACTGGAAATTACCTGTGAGGATGGGAAAATTCTCTATTTTAATTCTGTAGAATATCAGGTTGGACATTTCCAGATTTAGGAAATAGTGGTCCTAGGAGAATATAGAAGAAAGATTAATTCTACAACTTTTTTAGGTCTTAGAAATACTAACACACCATTCTTATCCATGGAAAAATGTAAGAAAGGCACAATTGTTTATGGTGCCAAGTATGAAGTGTAGGTGTGTGAAAATAAATTAAGCAAATAGTTTCTTTTAGATTGGTATAATTTCGGAACAGATGGAATTTGAGCTCAAGTCTTGAAGCATGTGCGTATTAAATCTGATAAAGAATCTTAGGAAAGGCTTTGTGAAAATATGTATGTATGTGCGTGTGTGCATGAGTGCATGTGTGTGTGTATGTGTCGGGTGGGGAATGTTGGAATGCAGCAAATATACGCTAGGCTGACCTCGTATTCCTGAGTGCTGGGGTTACCTACCTGTGCCACCATACCTGGCTAAGTGTGGCAGTTTTTAAAAGATGTATTTTACCTTTAATTATGTATGTGTGGGGTTGGATGTGTGTTGACTGAAATTTCTGTCCTGCCTGGTCCTGCAGTCATTCAGTCCCAAAGAATCACACAGAGGTCTACATCAATTATAAGCCAATTGGCCCAGTATCTCAGGCTCTGCTTATTGACTAATTCTTTTATTTATTTATTTATTTATTTATTTATTATGTATACAATATTTTGTCTGTGTGTATGTCTGTAGGCCAGAAGAGGGCACCAGACCTCATTCCAGATGGTTGTGAGCCACCATGTGGTTGCCGGGAATTGAACTCAGGCCCTTTGGAAGAGCAGGCAATGCTCTTAACCACTGAGCCATCTCTCCAGCCCCCTTGACTAATTCTTATAACTTATATTAGCCCATAATTCTTGTTTGTGTTGGCCACGTGGCTTGGTACCTTTTCCAGTGAGGCAGTCATATCTTGCTTCCTCTGTGGCTGGGTCACAACTGCAGAATATGCTTCCCTCTTCCCAGAATTCTCGTTGCCCCGCCTTTACTTCCTGCCTGGCTACTGGCCAATCAGCATTTACTTGAAATATAAGTGACAGGGTATAGACCATTATCCCACAGCAGGTGTGGGATGGGGAGAGCTTTTGTGCATGTGAGTGCAGGTATCCAAGGAAGTCAAAAGAGGTATCAGATGAAGCTGGAGTTACAGGTAGTTGTGAGAGCTGGGAGCAGAACTCAGATCCACAGAAAGAGCTGTGTGTACTCTGAAATGTCTGAGCCATCTCTAGCTCCTAGGTGGGGCAAGTTTGATGGTTGAAATATATGCTGTAGAATCCAGCATCAGTCCAGATCCTCTGGATGGTGGGTTTCTTTTTCCTTCTCCAGTCTACTCCCAGCCAAGTTGTAGTAAGCATGAAAGCCTAAGGAAGGAAGTATGACTGCAGGTAGCTTTAGCTAAGGCTCCAGAGCCCAGAGAATATCTGGAGGAGCTGAGAACTGCAGTTGAAGAACAGTGTAGCCTGAGGGGTGGGAACATGAGAAGGGATGAAGATGGTGATCCTGAGAACAGAATTGTGGAGAACACAGCTGGAGTGGCTTGGAGCCTTTCTCCAGATGTGCTGCAGAAGGGCAGCAGAGAGGCCAGAGCTCAGAATTGAGGATTTTTGTGGTTCATTTTGTTTTCTTAATCTTTAATCCTCTTTTGTAATAACAACATAGCCGATCTGTGTATGTGTCAGATGCAGCAGGCTGGGGAAGGCACAGAAATTTGTCTTGTTCTCCAAGAGGACAGAGGCGAGGAAAGAAAAGCAAGATGTTACATGAGATAGGCAAACAACCCCTCACCCAAATCAATCCCAATCCTTGGAAAGTTCTGGAAAGGGAGAGACATACAAATAGGCAAAGTTGATTGTTGAAGAGATTTTGAAGAAAATGCAGTACTTTTACAAATTAGCCCTTTGGAGGTTATGTTGTTTGAACTTTTTCCAGATGTGGCATTTGGAGTGAAAAATAATATTCACAACTTCTTTTTCTCTTTCAGCTGAAGTGAGCAGTGAATACAGTATGGACAGGGCCATGGTTGAATTTGCTAAAATGGATCGAGAGCTAAATCATTATGTTAAGGCTCTCCAGTCTACGATAAATCACGTAAGTCTGTTCCACTTCCCTGAATATTTGCTTACAGCCCTCTGCTCTAGAAATGGAAACAAAATCAAAATTCTTTTCTACCCTTAATATCTCCTTGTCCTTTCTGAAGCAGCTGTTGATCAGGACTCTCATGGAGCAGGAATCTGTAATATTTTCCAGCAAGGCACCTAGGCTAGTTAGCATGTGAAATGCATTTTACATTGTCTTGCATTTTTGTTTGAAAACTTTTAGTGTAAGCCCTTTCAAATGTGAGCAGATTTTCACTAAAACATTGAAAGTGTGTTCAGCTTGTTTCTATTGTCAGATTTGCTTAAGCATATAACTTAGACCAGGTTTGGTTACTTGTTCTCTAGCTTTAACTAATATGCATCCTTGCAAGATTTTTAGTATCAGATAACATGGAAGCATTTAGAGAAAGTTTAAAAATAAAGAAAGTTGGCATTTGGGTTGTTCCAGAGGCCAGACTTCTCTCTGCTGACTCCAGCTGTCACAGGAACAACACAGAAAGCAGTTAAGGTGGGAAGGAAGCAACATCCTCTTTGGCAGTGCTGTGTTGAGTAAGAAATGAGCAATAAGATTGCAGTAATGTTTCTGAGAAGTCCTTTGTCTCTGAGCCACGGAAACTCCCCGTTGAAGTGATTTCGGATACCTGTGTAATAAGGTGGCTTGCACTTCTGGTTTCTTTATTTGCCTTTTCTTCTTATGGCTATGGGAAAATTCCAAAGAGCAAGTGTTTAACAAGACCAGCTACTATTCAGACGAAGATAAAATTTTATGTGTTGTCTAATACTTAAGCAACTGAAATGAGCATTAAATACAGATTTTTTTTCCTGTTTTTGTATGGCTAGTCTTTGGTATAATGTAACTGTGATTGAGAATAGTAATAACTCATTCAAATTGTAAAGTCAAGTGTTTTTGGCTATTATAACTTAGGTTTAGTCCTCTGAATAAGTTTTGTTTTGTTTTGTTTTTTTGAGGCAGGATTTCTCTAGCCCTGGCTGTCCTGGAACACACTCTGTGGACCAGGTTGGCCTAGAACTCACAGAGATCTGCCTGCCTCTGCCTCCCAAATGCTGGCTACCACCACCACCGCTGGCTAAAGGCTTGCTTGCTTGTTTATTTATTTGTTTGAGTAGCAGCTGGGGAGGGGCGAGGGCAGCCCAGCCCTTTAGAAATAACAGCAATCTAGGGATTGGAGGGGATAGTTCTCCCACTTCTTTAGTTAGCATCCTTGGTCAAGATTTCTGGAACCTTATGTTCTTCATTTCATCACAAAAGCATTTTCACAGTACTGTTCTATGGACCAGATTAGAGACTGTGTATCAACACAATTGGGCCTCCATAGCGCTCGCTGGAGCTATCAGATACTGCATCGCTTCACACCCAGATTTCTAAAGAACACCTTGGAAAGGCGGAGCATACACTTCCTAAAACATAAATACTTTGTTTAGTTAACTGCAGTTTTGGATACTTTTCATGATCTTGTTCTACTTTAAAACTCAAGAGATACAAGATAAGCTTATTAGGTTAACATGTTAAGTGTTCATGGTCTCTAAAATGAAGTTGTAAGTCAGGCTGGTAAGAAATACTATAGATGGTGAGAAACCTTGGGTCCCATCTGACCTTATTCTGTCATGGATTTTTGAAGCTATAATACTTCCACTCAGGAGCTTGTTCCAAATGTGGCTCACGATCTTTCTGTTCATGGACTTTGCATAGTCACAGAAAAGTTTAAAAAGACATTGCTTCACTCATTACAGTGCTCATCACTTCAACAGACAGCTTTCTAGTCCACTTTCCCCTTAGAATTTGGAACTCATGCAACTTGGGAAGTTTACTGTGGGATCTTAGCTGTCTGGGTTAATTTACCAGTAATTCCCTGGGAAGTCCTGTTAGCAGTTAGCAGAAGCTCTCAGATTGCCTCCCTCTGTCCTGTGAGAAAATAGTATCACTATATCCCGTAAGTCTGAGGTTTAATTAGGAATCAGTGTTCATTTCAGTGGCCTAAAACCTAAAGGTTTTAAAGGACCTAAAGGAAAAAAAAGGACCTTGTTTTAGCAAGTTTGTTTGTAGAGGGAATATTATGTTGTGAGTACTACAAAAATGGCCAATTTCTAAAACATTTATAAAAACTTTCAGGATGAGTGTCTTTTATACCTATGAGTTATTTGGATGGAGAGTTTTGGTCATGAGACCACACGTGTTATAAACGTGTTGTGGAAGGTATGAAATGGTACACTGATAATGATACCGAAGTGGTATAGGAACTTTCTTTATTACAGTTAACTGCCCCGGAAAAACCCATCTCCCATCTTGTGTGGAGACAGAGTGATGTTCTTAACATTAGATTTCAGTGGCCCTGCCAGTCCTCCCTAGCTTTCTGAGTAGGGACTCCACTGGCTGTCTTTCCCCCTAAACGTCTAATGAGTAAGTGTGTACCGCACACCTGTCTGCCAAGCACTTGGTGATGGAGGACATCGGAAGTCATGAGCAAGAACCACATGATCTTTATCTCTATGTCTTAAGTCTAGAGCAGAATACAAACATTAAAAAAAAAGCAATAACTGTTATTTAATTACTATCAGTGTGTGTGTGTGTGTGTGTGTGTGTGTGTGTGCGCGCGCTACAAATGGAAAACAGAGCACTGCGGGCAGTTTAATGACTCGAGGCATAGTATCTTTGATGGTTGGCTAGAAGACTCCTTCCTGAAGAAGCGGTGTTTCTGAGAAGAGTGGATTAGCTCTTAATATGGAGAGTGAAAGGTAGCTAACTTCTGAATGTGACATTTGTCAAAAGCGAGAGCACCTTATTTGTAATGGTCTTTAATTTTTTACTTATTTATTTAATTGAGACAATCTCATATAGCCCCAGACATTTGAACTTGCAACTTGTGGGATTCCAGATGTGTACCACTGCGCCCAGACTTATGGGATGGTGGGAATCGAACTCTGAACTTCTTCGTGCATGCAAGGCAAGCACTCTACTAATTAAGCTACATACCCTACCCCCATTTCTGATCATCTTTGTTTATGCATTTATTTTTTAAGATGTATGTAGTTTTTATTTGTGTGTAGATGTGCATGCCTGCGCCAGTTTGTGTGTACCACATGCACGCAGGTGCCCATGTAAACCAAAAGAGGGCATCATATACCCTGGAGTAACCGCTGATTGTAAACTGCCCAGTTGGACCAGAAACTGGGTTCTCTGCAAGAACATTAAGTACTGTTAACCATCACTGAGCTGAGCCATCTCTGTAGTTCCTTCTGATGATTTTCACATCAAAGATTCAAGGGCCTTGGTCATTCCAAATAATAAATTTCAGAAAAGCAGACGACCATGCCTACCCTCAAAGGTAAGAACCTGAAGTACAGTGGTGGCATAACCTGCCAGACGTCAGTGATAGAGCTGCTAGCAGAAATTGAGCTGACCCGCTGCCAGGTACTCTGCCTGGTAATGCCTATCATGCCAGTATCAGATTTAAGAATAGTTTAATTACTATGATTCTATTTCTCAAGTAGAGGTTACTTCTGAAATTTGACTAATTGAATAAATCCAGTGATAGTCATGTGTGTTTCTCATTGTGTTATTAGTGTTTGCACCTACACCTACAATTTGGCCTATGGCCTTTAGATTAGTGAAGGTAGATGGGGAAGATGAGTACCAGGCCAGTTCAACCCCCTCCCCTCCCCAATCTGTTTTTCAAGTAAGAGACAGCAAAAACACCTTGGGCTACTGTGCCTGGGTGAGCTTGGAGGACAGCTCACAGCTGGCTCTCTCTTTCTACCATATGGAGCCCAGGGATTGAACTCGGGTTATCAGGTTTAACCACAAGCACCTTCACCCTCAGCCATCTTGATGGCTCTCACAAACTTTTTAATGATCTTAATTCTGATGATGAACATGAATGGGAACCTTAAAGCTTGATGACAAATGATTTAACTGGTTTATCTTAGTCCCATAAATAATCAGTCATCAGTGATAAAATATATTATCTCATATAGTCATAGAGCTTATGGAAGGTAGTGGAATTTGAGATTTTTTTTGACTATTCTTTTAGAGCAAGCTCCAGCTCTTAGAAGAGGCATGAGACTTCACCTGTGGTGTTTCCTTTGCTGAGTTAAGTGCTTAGAAACCTATAGCCTGTGTGTTTTCTTCATATTCCTCAAGACTCTGTTTTGCCCTTTTTCCATCTTACAGTTATGTAAGACTTAAGCATTTGAATCAGATTGCAGTCCCACAGCTGGCTTTGTTTGGGAGGCAATGTCTAGAATGTTTTTACTGAATGCCCGAGGAGAGCAAATGCTTTTCTTCCTAACTGGACCAGCTAGGTGCTGCATTGGCTCCTTTGTGTTTCTCACTGACCAAGTCTGCCCTATTCGGCGTACTGTGGTTTTTATTTGATATGCTAACCTGAAATGTTATCTGCCTTTTATAGTTAATATGTTGAGAGTTAGAAGAAAAGAAATGTACTTCATATACAGTGTTGAAAACCAGGTATAATAAAAGTACAAGCTAGGTCAAAGAATAGTTTACCTCAGTCCCGTCATTATGCAATGAATTTCGGCCATTTCTGATGTGCCACTTCCCTGTGCCCTCTCACCTTTCACCCTTCATCCGCTGGTAAGTTTAGGGGGGCTTGTTTGTTCATTTTTGTTGCTTTTTTGTTTTGTTTTGTTTTTTGAGACAGGATTTCTCTGTGTAGCCTTGGCTGTCCTGGAACTCACTTTGTAGACCAGGCTGGCCTTGAACTCAGAGATTTGCCTGCCTCTGCCTGTCTGGTGCTGAGATTAAAGGCCTCTTTTTTTTTTCTTTAAAGTTAACTATAATAACTACTACTACATGCAGCCCTATAGGTAATACCCATCCCACTCTCACCCCCCCCCCATTCAGACAGGGACTCACTGTGTAGACTTGCTAGCCTGTAACTCACTACGTACACCAGACTGGCCTTGAATTTACAGATTTACCTGATTCTGTCTCCTACGTGCTAGAATTAATGG